GACCACTACCCACTCCACTGCCACTACCCAGTCAATCTAGATAACTACCCATTCATTCTAGACCACTACCCACTCCACTGCCACTACCCAGTCAATCTAGATAACTACCCATTTATTCTAGACCACTACCCACTCCACTGCCACTACCCAGTCAATCTAGATAACTACCCATTCATTCTAGACCACTACCCACTCCACTGCCACTACCCAGTCAATCTAGATAACTACCCATTCATTCTAGACCACTACCCACTCCACTGCCACTACCCAGTCAATCTAGATAACTACCCATTCATTCTAGACCACTACCCGCTCCACTGCCACTACCCAGTCAATCTAGATAACTACCCATTCATTCTAGACCACTACCCACTCATCTCAACTCGTATGTTAATCACAGTCATAATTTCACTGTTGTAAAGAGAGTCCATTGGGTGACTGACGAAGGCATTTTCAACAGTAAAAGTGTGACATAGTTATGTGTGTCTCAGTGACTGACACCACTCAACTTGTCATCGTCTTTATCTTATATTTATTTCAGTCTGTTGTGGTTTGGTATAATCGTTACTTTTATGAACAGAGGACAACCTAACTTGACCTGACCTGACCTGACCTGACTTAGCATAAGAACATTTATTATAAGAAAACGTTTCGCCACAAGTGGCTTCTTCAGTCCTAATACAGAGATAATTGATTGTTTGATTCATCAGGAACTGCGTCCTGACACGGGTCTTACTCCCTGGATGACCCGTCTGAGGCTCACACCTCCAGGATGTCCATATAATTTAGCTGTTCTGCAGCCTAGATCAGGGTCTTGCCTTAGTCCCTCTGCGTTCCACGGCAATTTTTTTCTTTTATGTACAACAACGGGCTGAGGCCATCAGTTCCCCCCTCCCCCTCCTTCATCATTGTCTCTGGGACCTGTGTTGACTGGTCGAGTAAACTTACAGATAAACACATGGACTCTGTCTATTTTGTCCATCATCCATATGTTCACGAAGGTCTTCACAATTGTTCTGGATGTCTTTGTTTTCTTCTGAGTCAGTCAGATTGCTCATGCTATCTGTGAAGCAAGTGATCGTTGAGATAATTTGATGGCTCAGGGGTAATACAGGATGTCCTGCTGTGCTCTCTTAGACTACAGTGCTCCTCACTGTGACTGTTGTGGTGCTAGGGTTGACGCATTGGCTGTAACCTGTTCCTGCAGCATGAGGCCCGTTGGCTTCCGTTGTTAGGTGGGAGTTTGAGCAAGAGAATCGGAAGCTGGCTGAGCACGGCCGTTATCCCATCGCTGACGTTTCCTCGGTTCCCTTCATGGCTTGGCCGGGGAAGTGGCACTGGATTCCATGTTACTGTAGCTCCCTCTGGGCGAGGCTGCTGCTCAGTGGTGAAGGCTCTATTTAGCATTGGAGGATGGGCAACTAGGGTTTTCCATGCTGCCTTGACCCATCAGAACATCTCCAAGCAGTGCAGGTTCCAGGCATGATGCTTCTTGACGCAGTCCGGACACCGAGGTTCCGTAGCTTCTTCTTTTAGTTTATCTAAGCAGTCCTTGGTGGGGTGAAAACTACTGCAGATGCCACATACTTTTTTAAATTTAACATCTGGTGCTGAGGTGGTTTTACCTCTGGAACCTGAAGCACCTCAGAGGTTCTGGGTTGTACGTCCTAACCTTGTATGTTCCCTAGCAACCAAAATCCACATCAGCTAGGAGAGATTCTTTGTTGGATCAGGATCTGCCTTGACTCGGAGCCCTTCAACTTCCAGGATGCTTTTGTTACTATGGATTGCATCAGGAGGCATGTCTAGTGGGTAGTGCATTAGTACACCTTTTGTTGCCCACTCTATGGATTTTAAACCATACCCCGGCCGGGATTGAACCCGCGGTCAGAGAGTCTCATTACGATTTCGTGAGTCACTCTATGGATTTTAGTTCTGTTAGGACCAGTGGCAGTTCAAGGTCGTTCACCTTCTGCAGTACTTCATAGGAATCTGTGTTTCTGGGATTGAGAATATACTTCCCTTTCAGATTTTGGGACACTGATATCCTCAGCCCATATTTCTTCTCTGGGTGAATTGTAGCAGAATATGGGTTGTCGTGGTGACCTTTGCTTATCAACCTGAATTTGTTGCCTACAGATGGCTTGGCTTTCCCGATCTGATGCAGTGTAACATTGTGTCTCCTATGAGACTTCGAGGCTCCTGCTACTTGCCAACCTTCTCCATCCAGTACATCTATGGTTGGGATGAGTGTTACTTGGTCCATCACTTATCTCACTGGCCCGTTGCTTCACTGTCCCATGAGTCCAGAGACTGGTCTCCCAGCTTCTTCACAAGAACTGTACCCCACATTTCTAAATCTGATTCCTCGGTTGAGTCCCCGGAACATTGTGGCCTCTTCCTCTTGAAAGGAGCCATGTGCTTCCATATATTCCATATTTGAAACAGTCTAGGCACCTAGAACAATGCTTTGAAAAGTGTCATATCAATAGTCATCACCACCTACCTGACCCAATGTCAGGTCATTCCAGTTCAACCCACCCAGGTAATTTTTCAGTCCTATGAAATCAGCTAAGTGGAAGTCAGAGATATTGCCTTGATTGTTACTGTTCAGGTATTTCCATGATATATTGAAACTGAGTGATTTGTGATCGCTTTTCCCCAATCTTATCATTAACCTCAAGATTATTAATTAGTGACTTTTTTTTTGCAGGAACCAAGTCAAGCAGGTTATTTCCTCTAGTTGGTGTTGTCACAAACTGTAATCTGTAAATCACCCCCAAAATTAGTTTTTCACATCCCTCGAGAAACTGTATCCAAACAGATTCAGTGTCCAATGCTCAAATTTTATATCTTGTCTAATGCAACAATTTAAATTATCTCTGACATACATCACCACTCAACCATCCTTCCTATTGACCCTATCAGTGTGGAATTCAAAAGGCATTTTTCTCTATCTTTCAGTTTGAAAGATAGAGAATAATATCTATGCTTCTTGCACATGCAATTAATTTTACCTCATCTGTCATATTTCTTACACTCCTACTATTAGTATATACAGTAAACCTTAAGGGAGCTAGTCACTCACAGCCCTCTACTGTCTCTCTTTGTTGACCAGTTTCATTGCATTTATTAGTGGCTTTATGATGATTAATGTCTTGTAAACTTATCTCTGAGGTATCCTGGTAATATCTACTGCTTTAATCCCTTGTGCCACAACCTGTTTGTTTTCCACACACACCCATACCTCTATCTTCTGTCAGTTTAAAGTCCTAGACAACTCAGCAACAACCTGCTCAACTGAGTTGGCTAACGTCACCACTCCTCTCCCAAAGAGATGTACCCCATCCCTTGCATACTTATGTTTGCCATAGAAATTGTCCCGGTTGTCAGTGAATGGGATTGCAAGTTCTTTGCAGTACCTGTCTAGCCAGCAACTTAGACCAGTTGCCATAGATATCCATTCATTGCCCACTACCCTTTGAGGCAAGATGCTACATATGACCTAGTTAAATCTGTAGTTTACCTTGCCTGGTTGACCAGGCAAGCACCAGACAAGCCTGGCTCATGGTTGGGCTCCGAGAGTAGTGAAACTCTTCAAAGGTCTAGCGGAGGTGTACTTATGTAGCAGATCCTGTCTCCTTCCCTTCCCAGTATCATTGCCACCAGCACTGAGACAGATATTGGGCTTGTTCTCATTACCTGACATAATATCATCCAACCTGCTGACTATGTCACCAACACCAGCTCCTGAGACACACACTGTCTCACCTTCTTATCTATGTTACAGAAAGCACAGTCAACATATCTTACCTACGAGTCACCGACCACAAGGATATTCCTATATTAGCAGAGGAGTTAGTGGTACCTTTAACCTTACTGACCATTGAAGTACATTCGTCCTGCAGAACAGAAAACCGATTTCCTACCTTCAAATCTTCTCTTTTAACCTTTCATATTTTGATGTTACTTCCTTTACTGGGAACTACTACTCACTTGCAACGGCTGTCAGTCGGCTCCTCGCTGCTGGTGACCTGTTTCCCTTCACTAACACCAACCATCTCACATTCATTGCTATACTTTTCCTGGCGAATTTTCCGCTTATTTTTCATTCTTAAGAAATAGAACCACGTCCTTCAACGCCTTGACCTTAGATTCTAAAACACTGCAGAAGCAAGCCATGGTGCACCTGACCTGACCTGACGTGGCCAAGAAATTTGCTACAACCCATACGTGAGAAATCCACATAGATGGTTGTGTGAGTTATGAGGCTGAGTTGAGTGCTGAGTGCAGCATCTGTCATCTCAGTAACACCAGTATACCACCAGGGTGTAATATACCAGGGTGTAATATACCACCATTGTGTAGTATACCACCAGGGCGTGGTATACCACCATGGTATAATCTGCATATTTTAAACTTAAGAGCTAATTTAGAAGAGTTGTAAATTTTTACATAATTTGCAACACATCCCTAGAGAATGTTCTCATAGTGTGTCGAGACTCTCACTTGCTCTTGCCTACAACTTTGAGAGAGTACCGGTTCCGTAATTTAGTACAGCAGATGCTTGGGAAGTTTTGGGTAAACGTTGGACAAGTGAGTGGGTGGGAATGGTTGATTTAGAGAAGGATCTGCCTAGTATAGACCAGTAGGACTTCTGCAGTGTTCCTCCATTCTTATGTTCTTGACAACAAGGTCGTCTCTATCCTCCAGTTTCCACTAATGTTCTCTATTTAAGACCTTGCTATTAACCTCTAAAATTATATTTCATAAATGTTGGTCATTAATTATTTAATTTCAAAACTTATCACGTACTCCAATTTATTTTATTCTTTTCTGTTGCAGAGCACAAAATAATTATCAGATGAGTTTAACATCTTTCAGTAAGCTTGCAATTTAATTTTCATCTCGTGTAGATTTCATTCATTGGAGTGATGTTGCCCGATGATGATACCCAGTGATGATGTAGGCAAGAAGACTGATGAGCACCATGCCCACAGCTGGATGACTTGAGTTCGGATAGTGACGACGAATACTTCGATGTTGTGACGGTACCGGGTCTGCGTCCTCAGCCTGGTCTTACTGCCTCACCAGCACCGCTCCAGCAACACCACCACATACCACCCACACACAGCCAAAGTTTACCCGCAATAAACAAGGGCACTGTAGGTAGTGCAATGAGAAACGATGCAGTGCAGCCATTAAACACAGTGATAGCAAGCAAACAATCGGTAACCAAAGCAGCTGCAAGCGGCAGGGAGCAAGGATTATCTGCAACACCTCCTTGTGGTGATCAGAAAGTAACTGGTGATGAGCAGGCTCCAGGAACTTCAGTGAAGCAAGTTCGAGGAACCTCAGAGAAGCATAACCCGGAGGGTTCCACAGCAGGCATAGAAAGTCGGTTTGCTGTTAGTACTGAGAAGAAAGGTTTTTCGCGTTTGCCTAAGAAATATAAAGCTCCTCAACCTCCCTCCACTATAGAGCAACCTGCCCCCACTGGAAAGCAACCTGCCTCCACTGTAGAACAACCTGCCCCCACTGTAGAGCAACCTGCCCCCACTGGAAAGCAACCTGCCTCCACTGTAGAACAACCTGCCCCCACCGTAGAGCAACCTGCCCCCACTGGAAAGCAACCTGCCTCCACTGTAGAACATCCTGCCCCCACTGTAGGGAAACCAAAAGGTAACCAAGAGCAACATTGGTCAGATACACAAGATCAACTTCAGAGCAACAAGAATAATTTGATCACAACAGATATGCCCAGACAAATTCTGTCATCTAAAGAAGGCAAGACACACGTGGGGAAGCAAGAGGCATCTTCCCCGAAGAGGAAACCTCCAGACGAAGTAGAAACGAGTAATGAATTGCGAGGTAATGGTACTCTCAATAAAGTTGACTCGAAACGAGAAAAGACATTAAGTGGTTCACTTACAATAGAAGACAGAGTCATTAAGCAGCAGTTATCGTCAGCGTCGTCAGAGACTCCACTGACACCAGCACCCTCACCTGACAGCTTGCCGAACAAGCAAACTGTTAATACAACAATGAATAAAACAGTGAAAATAATGCCGGAGTGTACCACTGAGAGAGCATTATCATCACCTCAGGGTCAGAAAGTACGGCAAAGTAGTCCCGTGGCCGTGGTGGGTGTCAAGGTCACCCCTACCCTGGTCACTGGCAAATTAGAAATAGCTTCAAATGAAGGTTCAGCAACTGTAAGACGAAATTCCACTAGTGAAGATAAGGCACTAGATGGTAAAACAGCAAGACCAAAAGATACCTCAGTAAATAAGAGATCGCTGGAGAGTAACACGCTGACTACCACTCGACCTGCCACTGCAGGAACGACAGTCACTAAGTCCACACTAGAGGAAAATGAGAAATTACACGATAATGTAGTGGTAAATGGGAATATTGATGAAGATAACATGAGTGATGACAAGTCGGAAGAGGAACGAAAGAGAGCGTCTGTAAGTAAGAACAGAGAGAATGTAACCATCCACACTCAGAGTGAAAATTCTAAACATAAAGAAAGAAAAGAAAGTATTGAGAGAAGCAGCCGGTGCAGTTCAGTAGCTAGTGATGCTGCCTCACGGGCAGTTTCTCCTGACATCTCCCTCAACTCTGGTGCAGCCAAGCGCAGTAAGAGTGGCAAGCTAGCCTTCGTCCTCAACATGTGGGAAACTGATGAAGTTTCACAAAAGAGTGAAAGAGGAAAACCCAAAGGCTCATCCACTCCTAAAATTGGAAAGATTACAGGTCTTGCAAGTGTATTTGAAAGAGAGAAAAGTTTGGGAGCATCTCAGGCTGACGCTTCAAAGAGTATCATCAATAAATTAAAATCTCCATACAGTCCACCATTTTCTCCAGAAAGAAAGGCACCAGCAGAGGACAAGATTACAAATATTGCTGGTATAAGTACATTAAAATTTGGAGACGTTGCTAAATTCAAGAAGCCCGGCGAACCCAAGAAGGCAAATGACAAGATCGTATCACATACTCCCAAGAAGATGCCAGATGATAAGAGTTCATCACATGCTCACAAAAATGAGCTAGATAAGCAGGGAATACAAGACAAGGATCTCATTAACAAAAGTGTTAGTCAAAAGAAAGATGAAAATTTGAGTAATATTACTAAAGTTGGTGTTAACTCTGTTATTGATAAAGAACGAAGCCAAGAAAAAACTGGAAAGCAGAACACCAAGAATATTAGCAAAGATTGTGAAGAAATAATTGTTAATGGAAGTGTAGCGAAGAGTGACAGTAGAATATCACTCGATGAAGAAGATGCAGTGGAAGTGAAGACGAAGAAAGACAAACTCAGTAATCCTAGAGCAGATCAGAGCTCAGCAACCGTCTTGCAAAACAGCTCAGCTACTGAACCCAAACACCAACCTGTCAGTGACACCCTGGTGAAGACAGACAAAATTGACACTAGTGTCTCCAAGGCTAACAAAGTTAATGCTGTTGTCCCTAAGACTAACAAAGTTGAAGATGTGTCTAAGAACACTAAAGTTGAAGCCAAGACATCTAAGGACACCAAGGTTGAAGCCAAGACATCTAAGGACACCAAGGTTGAAATCAGTGAATCCAAGGACACCAAGGTTGAAGCCATTGCGTCTAAGGACACCAAGGTTGAAGCCGGTGCGTCTAAGGACACCAAGATTGAAGTCAAAACTTCTAAGGACACCATGGTTGAAGCCGGTGCGTCTAAGGACACCAAGATTGAAGTCAAAACATCTAAGGACACCCTGGTTGAAGCCGGTGAGTCTAAGGACACCAAGATTGAAGTCAAAACATCTAAGGATACTATGGTTGAAGCCGGTGAGTCTAAGGACACCAAGATTGAAGTCGGTGAGTCTAAGGACACCAAGATTGAAGTCAAAACATCTAAGGACACCAAAGTTGAAGCCAGTTCGTCTAAGGACACAAAGAATGAAGTCAAAACATCTAAGGACACCAAGGTTGAAGCCAAAACATCTAAGGACACCAAGATTGAAGCTAGGGCATCTAAAGACACCAAGATTGAAGTCAAAACATATAAGGACACCAAAGTTGAAGCCAGTTCGTCTAAGGACACAAAGAATGAAGTCAAAACATCTAAGGACACCAAGGTTGAAGCCAAAACATCTAAGGACACCAAGATTGAAGCCATTGCATCTAAGGACACCAAGGTTGGAGACGCCAAAGTTCATGAATCTAAGGTCATTAAAATTAATAGTGAGGCTGAGTCAAACATAAGCAGCAATATAGCAGCCAAGGTCAGTAACATCAAGGACGGAACTAATGGTTTAGAAAGGCAGAATGAAGCCAGTGATCTCAAAATATCCCCGCTTCCACTTGCTAACGCTGACACTAGCAGTATCAGCACAGCAGCTGGTGACGTGCCCACTTCTGTTAAAGTTACTGACATAAACAGTATTGCGTCTAAGACTGCCAAAACTGAAGCTGCTGAAATATATGATGGCCAGGTAAATACAACTGAAGCTTCAGCTACTAAAGTTACTTCAGAATGCAATGTCCAGAGTGCAGTGTGTCAGGGTACCGTCTGTACCAGCAGTAGTGACTTAGCTACCAATGTTGTATCAAGTGAAGCACCTGTTGTTGATGATGCCTGCTCTGCAGAGAAGCTTTCTGAAGCTCCTAAAGCTTCAGAAGCTTTACATAGGATGGATGGGTTGAAGAAGGATGTGCTAGGGGGCATAATGTCCTTCATCGAGTCGGTTACCAGGGGAGGTAAGTCACTGGAAGACAAGCTTTCCATCAATGGTCTCCAGTTTACCAAGAAATCCTCCAAGACAGATAATGCCACAGATTTGACTAATGCTCCCCCTGGTGATACTTCAGATACAAAAACTGTCAGTCGTTCTGAAAACACTGAGAACTTACAAGAACAAACTTCCCAGGTTATATCGCTGCCCAGACCACAAGATGACGATGGATCGAAGCAAGCCAAGTGTTGTCTTGAAGGTAAACAAAGTGTAAAGAACGCTGTGTATGAACCAGCCACAGCAGTGCCACAACTGGAGTCGGAAGTAGAGGCACTGCTCAGGGAGGCGTCAATGCTCATCGCCCACACTGAAGACATCACCAGGTCTCCTTCCCATGACGGAGGCGACGAAGAAGTGTTCCTGGATGCCATAGATGTCTCACAGCTGGACACTCTGATGCCTTTACCTAATATGGAGATAGAGAGAGAGAGGCGTTCACGATCCCGCACTCCACTAGAAGGTCCTGAACGTTCACCTTCGTCACGTTCAGTTGTGGCCAAGACCGAGGCTCTGCTCTCCGAGACTGACCGACTACTACGCCGCTCTCGCTCTGACAGATCTCTTAGAAGGTCTTACAGCCGATCAATGTCAGCAGCGGCACTCAGTAAAGTAGGTGTTGCTGCAACACCCTTGTCATGCAACTGTGTGTTACAGGTGTTCTGCAACACCAATGACATGTGTGTGTTACGGGTGTTCTACAGCACCCTTGACATGTGTGTTATAGTAGGTGTTTTGCAACACCCTTGTCATGTTACAGTAGGTGTTACTACAACACCCTTGTTATATGTTACAGTAGGTGTTACTACAACACCCTTGTCATACAGCTGTGTGCTGGAGACATACACAGCCCTGAATAACGTTCTGTAATATTTAACCACATTGTTAATACATTCCTGTCTTATTTAACCACAATGTTAATACATACCTGTCGTATTTAACCACAATGTTAATACATTCCTGTCGTATTTAACCACAATGTTAACATATTTCTATGATATTTAACCACAATGTTAATATATTTCTGTGGTATTTAACCACACTGTTAATACATTCCTGCTGTATTTAACCACAATGTTAATACATTTCCGTCGTTTATCAAGTAAATATTAACCCATTTAATGCATTTCCTACGAAAGTTAATATATTTTATGTCGTTATTTAGCACGAATGTTAAATCCTGAATGTTATATTTCAATGTAAGCTTGTAACTTTGACCCTTGTACTCTAGGTAATCTGTAAACTGTTTTCTTCCACTCCTGGTTATTTGATTTTAGGTCATTTTAATGTTGTAATACATGTATACTCTTTCTGGATAGCTGTAGCTATGTATAAGGATGCCAAATGTATAGTGTTCTTGTGTGTTACAGTCAGCACAGTCTGTGTTAGAAGCCAGATGTGAACTACAAAACTGTGGAATAGTGTGTAGAGTAAGTGTTGGTGTGTCAGTGTGTTACACACTGGGGAAGTACTCTTACGTATACTAACAAGTGTGCTAACACACTGGTACTAACACTACTACTAACAAGCGTGATACACACTGAAGTACTCTCAGGCGTACTAATATTGTCGTGTGTTCCTAGGTATACTAATTACACTACTGTATGCTCTTATGTTTACTAATTACACTACTGTGTATTCTCAGGTGTACTAATGACACTACTGTGTGTTCTCAGGTGTACTAATTACACTAGTGTGTTCTCAGGTGCACTAATGACACTACTGTGTGTTCTCAGGTGTACTAATGACACTACTGTGTGTTCTCAGGTGTACTAATTACACTAGTGTGTTCTCAGGTGTACTAATGACACTACTGTGTGTTCTCAGGTGTACTAATTACACTAGTGTGTTCTCAGGTGTACTAATGACACTACTGTGTGTTCTCAGGTGTACTAATTACACTAGTGTGTTCTCAGGTGCACTAATTACACTACTGTGTGTTCGAAGATGTACTAATTACACTACTGTGTTCTCATGTGTACTAATTACACTAGTGTGTTCTCATGTGTACTAATTACACTACTGTGTTCTCAGGTGTACTAATTACACTACTGTGTGTTCTCAAGTGTACTAATTACATTCCTGTGTTTTCTCAAGTGAACAAATTACAATATACCTCACTAAGCCACTACTGCCAATATACCTATATGAGTATACCACTAATATTAAGACTGATATACCTAGTAATAAGGATACTTTAGTCTATATTATACATTAAGAAGGATAATTTGGTCTCATATCCATACATATATATTTGTATTATCTTTGTATTATGTGTATTATCTTTGTATGTTATGGTTGGTGACATTATCTTAATCTTTTGTTGTAGCTGAGTGAGTTAAGCTTCTGTAAGCTGAGATAATAACGCTACTTCCGGTGCAGTCTTAACACTGGTGCTGGTGCAGTGTTAACACTGGTGCTGGTGCAGTGTTAACACTGGTGCTGGTGCAGTGTTAACACTGGTGCTGGTGCAGTGTTAACACTGGTGCTGGTGCAGTGTTAACACTGGTGCTGGTGCAGTGTTAACACTGGTGCTGGTGCATTAACACTAGTGCTGGTGCAGTGTTAACACTGGTGCTGGTGCAGTGTTAACACTGGTGCTGGTGCAGTGTTAACACTGGTGCTGGTGCAGTGTTAACACTGGTGCTGGTGCAGTTAACACTAGTGCTGGTGCAGTCTTAACACTGGTGCTGGTGCAGTGTTAACACTGGTGCTGGTGCATTAACACTAGTGCTGGTGCAGTGTTAACACTGGTGCTGGTGCAGTGTTAACACTGGTGCTGGTGCAGTGTTAACACTGGTGCTGGTGCAGTGTTAACACTGGTGCTGGTGCAGTTAACACTGGTGCTGGTGCAGTGTTAACACTGGTGCTGGTGCAGTGTTAACACTGGTGCTGGTGCAGTGTTAACACTAGTGCTGGTGCAGTCTTAACACTGGTGCTGGTGCAGTGTTAACACTGGTGCTGGTGCATTAACACTAGTGCTGGTGCAGTGTTAACACTAGTGCTGGTGCAGTCTTAACACTAGTGCTGGTGCAGTGTTAACACTGGTGCTGGTGCATTAACACTAGTGCTGGTGCAGTGTTAACACCAGTGCTGATGCTGTGTTAACACTAGTGCTGGTGCAGTGTTAACACTAGTGCTGGTGCAGTGTTAACACCAGTGCTGGTGCAGTGTTAACACTGGTGCTGGTGCATTAACACTATTGCTGGTGCAGTGTTAACACTAGTGCTGATGCAGTATTAACACTAGTGTTAGTACAGTGTTAGGAACAGCGGTGTTAGTGCAGTGTTAGCACCTACATAATGTTAAGGTTGATGCTAACTTGTTAACAATATTACACAGCTGGCAGAGGTGACGGCAGACTTGTCAGAGGAGCACAACACTGCGCACCTGGCGGGAGAGAGACTGGAAGCTGAGCAAGCTGAGAGAATGAAACTGGAGAAGGAGGTGGAGAGACTTCAGGTAACTATTAGACGTCAGTGTGGAGAGACTTCAGGTAACTATCAGGCTTCAGTGTTGAGACTTCAGGTAGCTATCAGACTTCAGTGTTGAGACTTCAGGTAGCTATCAGACTTCAGTGTGGAGAGACTTCAGGTAACTATCAGACGTCAGTGTGGAGAGACTTCAGGTAACTATCAGACGTGGAGAGACTTCAGGTAACTATCAGACGTCAGTGTGGAGAGACTTCAGATAACTATCAGACGTCAGTGTGGAGAGACTTCAGGTAACTATCAGGCTTTAGTGTTGAGGCTTCAGGTAACTGAGATACAACCCAGGGTCACAATGAGAGAACCCAGAGTCATAGACAGAACCCAGGGTTACAGACAACCAGGGTCACAGTGAGAGAACCCAGGGTCACAGACAGAACCAGGGTCACAATGAGAGAACCCAGTGTCACAATGAGAGGCAGAACTTAGGGTCACAATGAGAACCCAGGGTCACAAGAGACAGAACGAGGGTCACAATGAGAGAGCCCAGGATCACAATGAGAGACAGAACTCAGGGTCACAGTGAGACGGAACCCAGGGTCACAATAAGACAGAACCCAGGGTCACAATAAGACAGAACCCAGGGTCACAATAAGACAGAACCCAGGGTCACAATAAGACAACCCAGGGTCACAATGAGACAGAACCCTGGGTCACAATGAGACAGAACCCAGGGTCACAATGAGACGGAACCCAGGGTCACAATAAGACAGAACCCAGGGTCACAATAAGAAAGAACCCAGGGTCACAATGAGACAGAACCCAGGGTCACAATAAGACAGAACCCAGGGTCACAATGAGACAGAACCCAGGGTCACAATGAGACAGAACCCAGGGTCACAATGAGACAGAACCCAGCGTCACAATGAGAGACAGAACCCAGCGTCACAATGAGACGGAACCCAGGGTCACAATAAGACAGAACCCAGGGTCACAATGAGACAGAACCCTGGGTCACAATGAGACAGAACTCAGGGTCACAGTGAGACAGAATCCAGGGTCACAGTAAGACAGAACCCAGTGTCACAAGACAGAACCCAACAATAACAGCCTGGTTGATCAGACCCTGATCCACCACGAGGCCTGGTCTCAGACCGGGCCGCGGGGGCGTTGACCGCCGAAACCCTCTCCAGGTAAACTCCAGAGTCACAATGAAACAGAACCCAGCGTCACAATGAGACAACCCAGGGTCACAGAGAACCCAGGGTCACAATGAGACAACCCAGCCTTGATGGTCACCCTTCAGTCAGTTGGTGATCAACCTGACTGGTAATCAGGTTGATATGCTCGTTGGTAGCACCAACAGTCTTTTGGATCAGGGAGTCAGTCACTAGAACTGGTGTGTTACCCCCGGGGTCTGGGAGTCTAGTAATCTTCAATTTCTCAACCAGGGGGCCGCTACCCCCACCACACTTGTGTCTGCTGGCACTGGTGTACTGCACCAGTGTGCTCACTACACTTGCTCACACTACACCTCATACTACACTTGCTCACACTACACTTACTCACACTACACTTGCTCACAATACACCTCACACTACACTTGCTCACACTACACTTACACTACACCTCACACTACACTTGCTTACACTACACCTCACACTACACTTGCTTACACTACACCTCACACTACACCTGCTCACACTACACTTGCTCACACTACAGTTGCTGATAGTACACCTGCTCACACTACACCTCACACTACACTTGCTCACACTACACTTACACTACACCTCACACTACACTTGCTCACACTACACCTCACACTACACTTGCTCCAACTACACTTACACTACACCTCACACTACACTTGCTTACACTACACCTCACACTACACTTGCTCACACTACACTTACACTACACCTCACACTACACTTGCTCACACTACACCTCACACTACACTTGCTCACACTACACTTGCACTACACTTGCTCACACTACACCTCACACTACACTTGCTTACACTACACCTCACACTACACTTGCTTACACTACACCTCACACTACACTTGCTTACACTACACCTCACACTACACTTGCTCACACTACACCTCACACTACACCTCACACTACACTTGCTCACACTACACTTACACTACACTTGCTCACACTACACCTCACACTACACTTGCTCACACTACACCTCACACTACACTTGCTCACACTACACTTGCACTACACTTGCTCACACTACACCTCACACTACACTTGCTTACACTACACCTCACACTACACTTGCTTACACTACACCTCACACTACAACTTGCTTACACTACACCTCACACTACACTTGCTCACACTACACCTCACACTACACCTCACACTACACTTGCTCACACTACACTTACACTACACTTGCTCACACTACACCTCACACTACACTTGCTTACACTACACCTCACACTACACTTGCTTACACTACACCTCACACTACACTTGCTTACACTACACCTCACACTACACCTGCTCACACTACACTTGCTCACACTACACTTGCTGATAGTACACCTGCTCACACTACACCTAACACTACATGTGCTCACACTACACCTAACTACATGTGCTCACACTACATGTGCTCACACTACGCCTAACACTACATGTGCTCCCACTACACCTGCTTACACTACATCTGCTCACACTACACCTCACGCTACACCTGCTCACACTACATCTGCTCACGCTACACTTGCTCATAGTACACCTGCTCACACTACATCTGCTCACGCTACACTTGCTCATAGTACACCTGCTCTCACTACACCTAACACTACATGTGCTCACACTACACCTAAGACTACATGTGCTCACACTACACCTGCTTACACTACATCTGCTCATACTACACCTCACACTACACCTGCTCACACTACGCCTGCTCACATTACAACTCACACTGCACCTGCTCACACACCTGCTCACTTTACACCTGCTCACACTACATATGCTTACACTACACCTCACACTACGCCTGCTCACACTACACTTACTCACACTACACTTGCTTACTCTACACTTGCTTACACTACACTTACACTACACTTGCTCACACTACACTTGCTCACGCTACACCTCACACTACACCTGCTCACACTACAGTGTGCTGGTACAGGGTTAACACTGGTGCTGTAGTGCTAACACTACTACTGCTCACACCACACCTGCTCACACTGCACTTGCTCACACTATCTCACTATCTCACACTATCTGGACTAAAATCACAAGGGTATTAAAAGAGGATAACATCAAAGCTGCTTTCATAGACAACCTGGAAGCTTTCTACAACAGATGGGAACATAAAAAGTCTGGGCTGAATGGTACTGCCCTTGATACTGGCCATGTAGTCAGAAACTGTAAGGCTGGAGGTGATGTCCTGGTAGTCAGTAAATGTGGGGCTGATAGTGCTGTCCTGGGAGACAGTAATGGTGAAGCTGGAGGTGCTGTCCTGGGAGACAATAATGGTGAAGCTGAAGGTGCTGTCCTGGGAGACAGTAATGGTGAAGCTGGAGGTGCTGTCCTGGGAGACAGTAATGGTGAAGCTGGAGATTTTGTCCAGGTAGTCGGGAATTATACGCAGGAAGGAATACATATAAATGACCTCATAGGGGACAGGAGCCGTAGTGGGGAAACAAGTGTAGTCAAAGATAAGATAAAACCAATATTGCAAACTAGAAATACCACAGGAAATAGCAAACAAGAGGACTCCACTAGCAATAGTGAGGATATATTACCAAAAAACAACTGGTGGGAGCTCCATTGTTGGTGCTAGGGAGGATAGGAATAAGACAGGGAAACATGCACCAACAGGGAATACAGTCACAGAAACCCCCAAGGCAAACGGAAACCAAGCCTGTGCACAATACTATGCACTTGGGATCTGCAGACATGGGAAATCTGGAAAAACAGACGGGACGTGCAACTATGACCACCCTAGAAAATGCCATGCCCATATGACAACAGGAAAATGCAAACTCCCTTCCTGTAAGCTTTTTCACCCTGAAAATGTGTACCTCTTCAGTACAGGAAAGACTGTGCTATAACTTAAATTGCCAGGCATACCATCTAAAGGGGACAAAAAGATACAAAACATCCAGGCCATGGGAAAACCTGGTAGCCACAGCCACTCAGAGGGAGAGGTTTTTTTAGTGCCAGGAAGGAAAAAAACTGGCAGGAAATAGGCAGAAATCGTACACCCAAATCCAGTCATTCCTGGAGTGGAACCACAGTCGATGGCCTCCACTCCAAACCAACAGATACAGATACTAATGCCGGAAAAAAATCCCCCCCCCAGTACCAACAATACCACCAGTCCGATGACATTCTTCTTTGCAAATATACAGGGTCTAAAGCCAGCAACAAACAACAAAATACCTTTCATCCGTGGACTGCTTGCAGAGGCAAAGGCAATGTTCGCGCTTTCACTGAGACCCACATAAAGGATCACTTGGACAAACGAAATATGGATTCCAGTTACAACCTATACATATGTGACAGAGTGAACAGGCAAAGGGGGGGGGTTGGCCTGTACATTGCAGAGTCACTTGTTTGCATAGAACTGCTAAATGCCTCAAATGATGTAGTGGAAGTTTTAGCAGTAAAGGTCGAGAACCAAAACCTAGTCCATTGTGGTAGTCCTACAAGCCTCCGGATGCAACATCCCAGCAATTCCAGAACAGCTGTAAAAATTGACCACTGCTGGAAAATCTTCCAGCTCCTGCACCCAACATCTTGCTCCCTGGGGATTTCAACTTAAGGCACCTAAATGGAGGAATATAGCAAATAATATTGTTGCAGTAATAACACCAGGAGGCAGCTCTGATGAAAACTCACACTCACACGAGCTTTTAAATCTCTGCACAAAATTCAATTTAAACCAGCAAATAATAGAGCCTACTAGACTGGAGAATACACTAGACCTCATCTTCACTAACAATGATGACCTGATAAGAAATGTCACCATATCAAAAACAATAT